AAAAAAAAAAAAAAAAAAAAAAAAAAAAAAAAAAAAAGATGAAAAAGTAAAAGAAAAGCAAAGAAAAAATTACGCTTGGGCTGCACAATTCGAAAATTGTGTAGAGCGCAAAACATAATGGAAAACAAGCAACATTTTGTCGAGTATTTTCAGTGCGCCTCAATTTATGCCACAATATTCGACTCAATAGATATTTAATACTCAGCAATTTCTGCAGAAATAGCAAGTAAGCGTGTGCTGGTGTTGATAGCCCGACTAGCAGATACCCTAACTACTACAAAGAATTCTTACATCAAATACTTAAAGTCTCTTTTGCTAAATATGTTGTAGTTGGAATAGCACAAATACTAAATTGCTATGAAGGTATCTAAATAAATACATCTCTATATGTATTTATCTCTTTCTATCTATCTATCTATCTATCTATCTATCTATCTATCTATCTATCTATCTATCTACCTATCTATCTATATATATATATCTATCTATCTTTCGTTCTACCTATCTATAGCTGTCTATCTATATATCCGTTCATCTTAATCTACCTATATCTATTTATTCTATGTCTATCTATTTGCATATATCTATCTCTGTCTATCTATATCTATATTAATCAATCAATCTATCCCATCTGTTTGCCATCGATACATCTTTAATTTGTTTATCTATAGAATAGAGAAATTATCGGAGAACGGACTTAGGCCACCAAGGCAAGTCCATGAATATATACGCTTTACAAGCTCCGCCACGCCTTCTGCTGCCTGTTTGCTTCTCAAGAAACCTGTATACCTCAGAATATCAGCTTAAATGAGTTTAGGGTATACAAAAAAATTATGGGAAACACCGCAGCAGCGTCGAACTTTTCTCGCTGTTGCTGCGGATCGAAGGTCGCAATGAGTGGCTCTATATATATGTATATATACATAATTATATATATATACATATATATGTGTAAGTCTGTGTGTGTGTTGGGCAGCGTGTTGCGCTGTTTACATAATATTTTCATGTATATTTTGCAGCTTGTACATATTTTTTAATGATTTTCTTCTTCTTCGCCATCATCTTCTTCCCGGTTTTTTCTCTTTCTCTTCTCTGTCGGCCTGCTTTGGCAAACTTTGAAAGGCGACGCCGTATTACAACTCAACTTAGGAGGCGTTTTGCTGGCTCGTGCACTGTGGTTTTGGTGTGTATGTGTTTGTGTGTGTGTGTGGGTGGCTTAAATGCCACCCCTACACGGCCTGGCCTGTGTGCGAGAGTTGGGGTTGGGGTCCGCACAGGGCATAATTGCGCTGCCGTCGAGGCAAATGAAAACGGCTCGCAATATTGAAGCTGCGAACTTTTCAAGTGTAAGAAATTTAATTTCGAAATGTAGGTTTAACGAACGGAAATTGCTTTCGCTGCCTCAGAATCGAGTAAAAGCTCTTGCTGTGTATTGTTCTCGTTCTCCCACGCACCGTTCCCCTTGCCGCACTCTACTTATAAACATATTCCACGCTTTGGCCATTGTTGTCGAAGCAAAGGCGTAGAGCAACAGCAAAAGTTGTACAAAAACAAAAAGAGAACAGAAAAAGAGAAAAACAAAACACAAAATGTTCTGTATATAAATTCAGCTTTTTGCTGCTTGTTTTCATTTTGCAATTTGTTTGCTTAACTTTCTGATTGAGCTGGTGGCTCATTGCGGCGCATTACGTCAAAGAAAATGAAATTATTTAATGTTTTACATTTGTTCGATGGGTCCCAGAACCACCAGCAGCAATACCACACAATATCTTCACCCTTGGCCTCATTTTTTGAGCATTACTTTTTATTTTTCACACTCTCTCTCTCTCTCTCTTTCACTTCAGGGGCCAGGCGGGCGCGTAATTGCGACTGATTTGTTTGGCATTTTGCACGGCCATTTATTTTCGTCATGGTCAGCTTGAGGCTCACCCGCCAGGATGTGGCCAGGCAGACAGGAATGAGGCACAGCGCGTTGATTGAGCCCATTGGGAATTCGACATGGCCAGAGCTGGGGAATGGAACTGCCGTCCCACAACTTCTACAGAAATATATATGTATATATGTATTCTTGTATTTATGATTTGCTTTTCAAGTGAAATACTTAAAATTTATTTTTTCATGAGCGTATAATTTTCAAAATCTAGAAGAGATGCCTAGCTGGAAATATGCTCGACTCTTATTATGTCAAAGTAATTAAAGTGACATAAACACAAATGTTTTTCTGAAGAAGTTAAAAATTAAAAACTTTACTAAATAAAAATGATAATAAAAATTTAATTTTTGTATCAAAGTTTTAAGTTAAGAATATAATTTCTTTATAGCACTGAAATTAAATGACAGTTGCTGTTCTTATACATATTAAATTTGATAAACTCAAGCGGGAGCTTATTAAGGTTATATTCTAGAGCATTTCAATATAAGAGATTCAATAAATTGAATACTCAATTTCGCACATTTTTATTTTTCAAGGAATTCAAGATTTGTCTCCATGGACAATAATAAATATATTTTCTCATATATAGTTACAAAAAACATAAAAAATAAATTAAATAAGAAAACATTCAGTATTCTTCACAATAACACTCCGTTGCTTTTTTACAGCTCCTTTGCTGGGATTTATTTTGCTTCAAAGTTGTTTTTTCCTATTCCGAAACATTAAGCAAATAATCTGAATCGAATTGTTAGCCAAAACAAGTCTTTGATAATGCCGCATGGCGCCAGTGACTTTTTCTCGCTCCCAAATTTGAGAAGGCCCATGAAAGAGCGTGCGTTGTGCTACGATTGAAGCAATAACAATAAATATGACCGAGAAGGAAGAGCTAAAAAACATCACAAGAGTTGACTTGTAAATGCTATGAAAATTGGAAAAAAGAGTTGATACTAATATATAATATCCAGAAATGGGCGCAAATTACATAGATACTCTTGATTATTTTAACATAACATTTTAGAATAGTTATTTAAGCTGTGGTTTGATGAAGAAATAATAATAATTAATTAAGAAAAAATAAATAAAAAAATACAAAAAGAATTATCAAAAAATGTGTTTGTCTAAGACTAAATAAGTTCAATCAAAGTTGAAAAAAAAAAAAATATTAAAAATAATAATAATAATAAATGTAACAATTGCAAAAAAAAACATAAAAAAATTCCAAATATTCTTCTCAGAAAATCCTGTATATAATAATAATAAAAATTTAAAAAAAAAAAAAAGAAAAGAATTTTCCAAATTAGTTACTGAAAATTATTTGCCTAAGACTGAAAAAGTTAAAAAAAAAAATCTGAAAACAAAAAAAAAAAACAATAAAAATAATAATAAAATGTAATAATTAAAAAAAAAAACATTAAAAAATATTTAAATATTCTTTTAAAAATATGCTATACATAATTAAATTTTCTTTTTTATTTAACATATGTGCATTTTAATTTAAAAATAAATTGGTACTTTACATCACATGAATTAAAGGCATGCACAGCAGCAGTGCTGTATTAATTATTATTCAATCAATTTGTAAACGCTCTTTAAACAATTCATTATGTCTGAGGTATTTAGTTCGCAGCCATTTGCATATGTATATGGCCCTTAATTGCATGCAAGCTGCAGCAACATTTCGCTGCAACTTAATGGGGCAGCTGTAAAATATTTATGCTTTCATTACTGATAAATGCAATGCATGTACGAATGAGTATATAAAATAAACAATACAGCCAAATATATTTTATATAAATAAATATATTGATGAGTTTTTATTTAATGCAATGGCTGCGGTCATTAAACGTTTTCAGTCAAATACTTGGCCACATTATGGTGCCATTTACTGGGCGAGCCAATTGGCCACACGAAGAG